CCGCAACATTTCGTAGGCCACAACGACCGCATGATGCAGGCCGACCAACAGCTCCGTGACGAATTTCATGGCAAACTAGCAGTGGCAGGCGGCTCGTATAGCAAGATTGGTGCCATGGGCGCGATCCGCGCCGGGTACGACATTGCGAAGCAGACTGTCGGCGAGGGAGGGTGGTACACAACGGGACTGGAGAGTCTAGAGTTTCCAGAACCGTTTGTCGGCGTGCCCATTTCGAAAATTCCCGTCAGGAGGTTTAGACAGCTAGAGCAGAACAGGGGCTAGCTCGAGGGCTGTGGAAAAAGAGGAGGGAAACGGCGGGACTGTATATTAGGGCTGGGCCGATGATTCTAGCATACCACTGGGACGAAATCCCATGGCGACTTACCAACGTATAGAGCGCAGATTTTGACGTATAAGCACACATGGACAGATGGGTAGATGATATAATAATCCCCTGTGGCAAACATTGTTTGCAGGGTCTCGCGCCATTTTCGGAGCAGATCGAGGACAGGTCTGTGTTTGCAGCGTGCTGAGTGCTTGCCCTGCGTTTTTTCACCCATCCTTGGGGATTTTCTGTCCAGTTCCTGATCTAGCCGTGACATAGCATTTCGTAACCGGCTGTGCCGGCCATGATGAGCCAACAATCAACCATGTTCCATCGCTTGACGCGTCACAAGACCACCCAACTTCCACATCCACATGCACAGTGTTTGATGTTTCGTACCACCGGCACCGCCTCCTCGCCTGGTGCTGAGGAAAGATGATGAGTCAAGTATGCCGAGTGCAATGTTGGCCCACTCGCGTCGCCTCGGCACGGTGACGCGACTTGGGCCTGGAATCGTCTTTTTGGCTCATCTGCATTTGGGGCTGCAGGATTCTTTGGCCTCACTCCAGGCCCTGCAGTACTAGGGAACGGTTGGAGGGACCATGATACATGGTGACGGGCGTGATCAGGCCCAATTACAAGGCCAAGTCCATTGGCTGTATGCATGACGCTGCCACATTGACAGCTCACAATCAACTCGCTTAGTCTGTCTTGCTGCCAGCTATAAGACATGCAGATACGATGCAGCAGCCCCCCGAGGCGTTGGCGTACATCTGACAGAGTATGCCTCGTAGTAAACACCAGTTATACTACTGAGTCGGAGCTTAGGAATAGTAGTCGACCGTCATGACTTTTAGTTTGATCTTGGGCAATAAAATATACAACCAGGAGCTGTGCTAGCCCCTCCGGCTGACACGCCAACTTTGAAGAAAAGGATATGGTGGCTTCTGCCTGTCAACATGTATACCGACTACTGATTAACATTGTCGGTGTAAAGACAGTTGCATGGGTACATTGCCTTATTCCCGCGCCAACCATTCATATACAATGTTACTGAATAGAACAACCTTGAAGCCAGAGTTTATGGCGGCCGCCACACTCGTCTACATGGCTTCAGTTGAGGGCGGTACCCCGATCAAGAACGTTACAGTAGACGGTGCGGCGTGGTCCTTTGAGGCGGAGAAGGTTGCTTTTACCAAGGTTGTTGAGTGAGTCTGGGCGTACTCTAGATGGTAGTTGAGATAGGCATGCTTGGACATTGGCAAATTGAATCCATGGCTGGGTAGAGGCTCCAAGAGCCAACTACCTAGATGCTCATTTATTTTGATCTCGTGCCATGTTGCACCAAGTGAGAGCACCCGTGCCACTTAATACGCCCAAGTTGAAACTTTTGCGACTGGACAACAAATCACATCGTAATCAGGATGCTCAGATAAGCTAGTCGTTGCTAGTTGTCATGTATACAGCTTCCATTCATGTGGCTCCCAATGGATATACCCTACTTGGGCATTTTTACCCCATTATACTCCTTCTACCTCTTCCTACCATCCATCATCGCTGCCATGGACCTATCAGCAGCGACATCCGAGTTACTCACAGCGGTGAGTTTTGCTTCAGACCCTCACTCCAGAAGATTTGCCGACTCCAGCTCCTTGGTAGCCGCGCTATGTTCTGGGCTGTCTCTGCACGGTCGTGGGTGGACAACGCAGCGACAAGCTTGGAAAGTGCGGAATGTATATCTTTCCCACTACCTAAATGCTTTTAGAGACTTACTAACAACTTGAACTTCTTGTTCGGTTTCTGCAGTGATGGACCGTAGTGACGGCACGGGCTTCTCTCGCTACTCATTATAGGTTTTTGTGGCCCTGTACTTGATAGAGAACTCGTTTATGACATCAAAGGTTTCTCTGAAGGAACTCGGGGCAGAAGCTACCAGTGTTTATTTATACAAAGCAGGCGGAGTCTCTAGGTCTGGAAACCCAAAACCTCGACTAGGTCTCGGACCTTGCGTAAAAAAAGTAGTTATTCAACGAGATTTATATAAGAGTTTCATGTCTCCCACGGCCCGGGGAAGGGCTAAGAATTTGTTGATATGCAGGCTAAAGGCCCAATGTGGTCGCAGTTCAGCATATACCCGTATTGCTTGGAGAGCTTGGACAAAATCACAGATGCTTCTTGAAACTTTTATAAAAAAGAGTAAATAGCTGCCGATCTATATAAAAAAAAAAGACTATAGTTCAAAGCAAAACTAGTGTACATACTTTGAGCGAAAAAAAAAAAAAAATAGCCACATGTCCTGTACATGCGATAACAAGGTGCCCCCTATTATCTTTGCCTAAATGTTGGGCTTCACTATTACTAAAGCTCACATCTTTCACTGCCATCCTTCTTTCGCACAATCACATTCCAATCCTCACTGTAGAATCCCTGGGTGAGAACCTTTCCTTGCACTTTCGCGTTTAGACATGGACCCATAGATTCTGTGGCAGCCTGTAATATAGTATAATAGGTCAAACGTAGGTCACGAGCGCTCTAAAAGGTAATATATTAGTAAGTGTGTACCCCTTTGGACTGAAAATTCTTTAGACAGTCTTTTTACACCCCCCCTTTCGTATGGAATAACTTACATTATTACACACGACGATTTTCGCCTCACCATAGCACGATATGTCGCTACATTTGTTCGCGCCTGTAGGAATCGTCACTGTGCTCCCTTGCGGGTCTGGTGCTATTTGGAGCTTGTTGCGTGCTCCAACAGCGTCATTGATGGAGGCCGGGCTCCAGTCGAAAGGAGACGTGCAACTCGCCCTTTGAAAGCCACGAGCCTTGATTAGGTTGCCGTCGAGGTCGGTTGCTTTGATAGCGAGTCCCTTGTGCGTTCAACCTTGTTAGTGCCAGAAACATAGCTGTGGGACAAGTCCAAACGTACCCAGACTTGGGCCTGCAACAGGGGAAGCAGTGCAAGTAGTTTTCCGCCAAACATGATGAGGAGGTAAAGAGAATGAGTGGTGACAGATGATGATGGTAATAGATGCTGCTGAGAGTCAAGAGTTGTGAACTGCGACTTGATTTGTGCCCATGAACGAGGGAACCGGCTCCCTTTTTAACTTGCGTTGTATACATGTAGTTGTAGTTGTGTATAGATTATTCAAGTCAACTTGTTCCGGTAACCAACTACAGGACCTCGCAGCATGAAACAAACAATCAAAGAATTCCGCCACGGGCACCACCTGACAGGCCAACACCGGCCATTCCCTAGACAGTGCCAATGATTCCAACGTGAGAGCCCAGCTCCCAAGGCATAAAATAGTTTCTTGGCAGCCAGGGAGGCGCGTTTCAATATTTTGAGTTTCAGGTTGCAGCCGTTGGTCGTCTCTGTTGCCTATTACGGAGGCAACACCGCGCCTCTCGACTCTATTAGAGGAAAGATGTAGGAGGCGCTTGGGGTTGGTACGGGCGCTTGTATCAAAGACGGAGTTATTTATAACGCGGCGCTGGGGCTGCCGAGAATATCCCAACGCGCGTGTATGTGCACCGGGACAATGGTGAATCTGGTTTGCAACCTCCAAATAAAGTCAAGCCACTGGTGGTTATTCTCCGCCATATCGTCTGAATCCGGCGAGGCTTGACCACACGGTCCAGGTAACTGCCTGGTAGCCGCCACACCAATTAGCCGTTTGGGGCGCGCGCGAATAGCTATGCGTCTGGTGAGATGCTGATGGAGCTCGAGTCCGGTGCTTTGTTATGAACAAAGGAAATCGGTGTGCGTGCCTCCCGCTGGCCCTCCCCTTCAATAGTTGCCAGACATGACATGAAAGTCGGACATTTATTCGCTCGCCGTCTTGCTGCCTGCGCGCTTAAGCAACCTCCCTATTTCTATCTGGAGGCACTGAAACTCTGGAGAAGGGCTTGGCATGGTCTCTTGCCCAAAGATAGAATAACTCGGTATATTGATGGTTGTTCTGCCAAGTTCCACGCCAAAGTTGTGCCAAGTAACGTTCAATGTTGCCCCCATGCCTCTTTTGGCTTGGTAATTTTACCTGATCCACTTCTCCTCTTGACTGGTTCAAGGCGAGGTTCAAGGGACGGGCCGTGCCTACATTACCATGTAAATGCTGTAGCACGGGCACTTTAATCGAGGCATCAAATTCGCCCAGGAGGCCAGTGCTACTTCTTCCCTCTTCACTGGTATAGCTGACATATAGAATTACAAGCTATGTCTGAAGCATTAATCCCTTGAAGGAAGAAGCTATACCAGCACGTAATTGACGGACCTGTATTGGGTCAGGTCAAGATGAAGGGTTTAGCCTGGAATATGCGTGCCGATGAATGTGTGCTGACGCTCATAGCTTCGACAATAGTAAGCCAGGGCTGATAACCCAACAGGGGAGCATAGTTGCTTAGTCTAGCAGGTAAAGAGCTTTTCAAGGACGCCACTTTGAACCAGCATCTCGCACTCGTGCTTCCTAGATCTGACATCAGAGGCGCTTGCCTGCTGCTCGATGGCCTCGCATGAATATTGATCCAAGCCGGCCATATGCTCCGACAGCTGAGCAATAGTCTCATACCGACCATGCCAGCAGTTCCCAATTATATTATCGTACTTGTCTTTACCTAGAACCGGAAACTCCATATCCTGGAGCTTACCCTGACAAATGGGACCATGGTCAGGCCCTCACCACTCGTCCTCATAGGGATCATGGCCGCGCGTCAAGGCATAGATGACTGAACCCATGGCGAATTGCTCTGTTCGACAACCAGCGGTGCCGTATGTTCCGCAATCCGAGCCACCGTCATCCCCCAGTAGCCGAGCAAAAGGTTCCGTCAGAGAGGGTACGGTGTCTCCGATCTTGCACGCACGATCAAAGTCTGCAAGCTTGATGTCCCGCGCGTCGGACAGCAATATGTTGGCTGGCCGAATATCGCAATGCGCCAAACCCAGCTGCTCGAGCCAAGCTTCTGCCGTTGCAAGCTGACGCATCCACCGGAGACAGTCTTCCGCCGTCTGCAACTTCTCTACTCGAATTACTCTCTGCGTTGACTCGTCTTTCACTTGTTCGTCGTTAAGGATGGTTCCAAGATTCCCACCCGACATGAACTCCAAGAATATTGCGTCCTTGGTGTCGTGAAAGTGCTGGACAATGTATGGTGATGGCGGTTGGCGTTTTAATATTGTAAAGACTTTTTGTTCGGCAGCAATATATCCGCTTCGGCCAAGACGGCTCTTTTTCACGACGATGGCGTCGCTAAGCTTGAATACCAGTCCGGTGCTACCCAGGCTGAGCAATTGAGGTTCTTCGAGGTGGTGTGCACTCTTTTGCGTGGTCCAGAAACGGACTTGAGAGTCGGACTCGCAACCCAATGGGCCACAGCCTTTAGCCATGCTGCCAGGTTGCTCCGCTGCAGCATGGACGCGGCTAAGGAAAAATCACATATCCGTTTAGAAAATGATGTTGCGCTCGAAAGTGTGGCTGATTTAGGTCGTCAGGATGTACCTATAAATGGAGAAGTTTATATTAAACAACTTAGGCTCAGAGGAGTTGGGATAAAGGGGGCGAAAATCGGGGAAGAATACTCGGACCGATGTTGTCGGCACGGTGTACTCGTTTGTACCTGTAGGCAAAGACTTGGCCATAAAATTACGGGACAATTGAATATCTCCGGAATACTTTTCAATTTTTTAAAAAATAAATATTACTAATAATAACTTTAATAAATTATATAATATATATTGAGATTTAGGAACTCTTCAACAGCTGGACCCCGATGCCCTGCCAAATGTCACCATCCCACGGGCTCTTTGACACATTATCGTTTTCACCGGATTACTCCACCAGCATATGCTGCTCGTCTCGTCCCATGTGTGTCCTCTTCTTGGGGCCTATCATACGCTGCATGGTTCGCGACGAAGCAAGTTGGTACAAAACGAACAAATCAAAGCCAAGCATACTTGATCAGAATCCAACACGGTTGGAACGCAAATTGCGATTGACGATTATTTCGTTGCAACGAGAAACTCGTCACTGCGTCTTGCGCAGACCAATGCGTCCTGGTCACGAAATTCTGTGCGAAGTACGTCATGCTTTGCCAAATCTCCAACTTCCATTGGAAATCGCGAGGTGCCTCGGTTTCTGTTCCACCAACTTGCCAGTTATTCTATTCTAAAAGGTGCGGAATAGAATTCCCGCTAAACGAGACAGTTGAAAAGCAGAAACAAGGAAAAAGTAGGTTGGTGCTTCATCGTCCGCCTTTGTCGTTGGGTAACCCTAACCCTGCCTGGCGTGTGTAGCCTGTCCAACGTGTTGTTACACGGAAATGGCCTGTTACACAAGGGCTACAGTCACGGGACTAGGGCAAAGTCCCTCACCGATTTCTTGTATTTCAAGACGTCTTTGGTCAACGAGGCCTTGATGAAAACCAAGGACCTTTGATACCAAAGAGTGTTATTAGCTGAATTAAGCTATTGCTTCAAGCCCTCTAACAAGCCATTGTTACACGTGTCGGGTAACTACATACTGGAGACAAGATAGAGCCGGCGCCAGGAGGAATCATCTTTCCCGCCTATTTCGTGGTCGACGCCGAGCCAGCGTGAAATTGTGTCAAGTGGCATCAATCAATCGCCGAATTGGTAGTTATCGCACACATCCACCACCCCAGACCTGGAAGTCAGTCATACAGCTAGCTGTACGAAGTGCCTGGGCCACATTTTTGCGTCTTCTGAAAACGTCGAGAATTTGGGCACTCGGACCATGATATATATTACATATTCTGAGAGAAAATACCCAACGAATACAATCTTTGTTCATCAACAAGCTCGCTTTTAAGGGTGCATTAGGTTGGATACATGTGCCTATTGCCCCGACATCTTCCCCTGAGAGACCTTCGCCTCTGAATGCTTTTCTTTTTTTTTTTACCGAAATCCCCAAAGGCCCGTTGTTTCACACATTACAAAGAGCCAGAAAATAAAAGACAGAGAATGCGTCATCCTCCAGCATGACCCCAGATCCTACTCTACATGTCGTTGGCCTTGTCCTCCAGGACAGAGACCACACTAGAAGCCCCTTGAGGAACACCAGCAGATTCCTTGGCTGCACCATTAGCATTGTTGGGACTCAGCGCTTTCGGTCGAGACGCAATTGGCTTCAGAATAGGGCTTCCAGGCCTGCTCGTGATAAACTGTAGATGCGTGTCAGTGAAACCCGTCGAAACCAGGAAAGAACAAGTCGCGCCGAACGACATTGCGCAGCAGCTTACATTGGTAGCAGCGCTCAGCAGCGCGATGAGGGAGCTCTGAACCACATCCTCATGAATGCCGATTCCCCATACCATCTCCTTGGTGTTTCCAATCTTGCACTCAATATATGAAGCAGCCTTGACACCACGACCCTCGCCGATGGCATGCTCCTTGTAATCATTGACGTCCAGGTCGATGCCAAGATCCTTGAGGGCATTCGCCATGCTAGAGATAGGGCCATTGCCCCGTCCGCGGAGCTTAATCTCCCTACCGTCGACTGAGATGACGCCCTCAAAGACACGCATCAGGTTTTTAGTATCCTGTGTCTTGCCCGGCGACGGCGGCGCAGGAGATTGCGAGCGGTCAGGGGTAATTGAGTAATCAACAAGGGAGAATCGAGGGTTCTCGTGAAGGTAGTAGGTCTTTTCGAAAAGATCCGTGATTTCGTCGGCTAGAAGCTCACGACCAAGACTATCAGCCCGCTTTTGAACAACCTTGGAAAAGGCAACTTGCAGACCGCGAGGGATATCCAGGTGAAGCTTGCGCAGGATGATCCAGGCAGCGCCACCCTTGCCGCTCTGGGAATTGACACGGATAATAGCCTCGTAGGTGCGGCCAATGTCCTCTGGATCCAGTGGCAGATATGCAACTTCCCAGTGGTCCTCGTAGGTCTTGCCCTCGCGTCGGCGATTGTGCATCGATTTTGATATGGCGTCTTGGTGACTTCCCGAGAAGGCACACACCACCAGGGAGCCGGCATACGGGGCGCGAGGATGGACGGGAATCTTGTTACAGTTCTCGACCACGTCAATGATTTGGTTCAGGTTTGAAAAGTCCAGGTTGCAGGGAACGCCTTGGGTATACAGGTTCAGGGCCAAGGTGACCAGGTCAACATTGCCGGTACGCTCGCCGTTTCCAAAGAGACATCCCTCCACACGGTCAGCACCGGCCATCTGAGCCAACTCTGCCGCTGCAGCCGCGGTACCCCTATCGTTGTGGTTGTGCACGCTAACGCAGACCTTTTCGCGTTCTGATATATTCCTGCAAAAGTATTCAACCTGATCAGCGAACACGTTGCAGGACGCGTTCTCGACCGTAGCCGGCAGATTCACAATCATAGGTGTCTCAACTGTTGGCCCCCAAGCCTCCTTGACGGCGTTGCAGACCTTGACGGCAAATTCGGGCGATGTATCAGAGAAGCACTCGGGGCTAAACTCAAACTGCCAATTGGTGCCTGATTGGGAGGGGTCGTCTTTCGTCAGGGACCTGACGACCTTGGCGCAACGCACAGCGAGCTCAAGAGTGTCCTCTTCGGAGTAATTGAAGACGATTCTCCGGAAGCACTCGCTAGTAGCGAGATAGATGTGAATAATGGCATTCTTCGCACCCGAAACTGCCTCAACCGTGCGCTTGATCAGATCCGGTCGACAGGGCGACAGCACCTGGATCGCAACATCGTCTGGAATGGCCCCGGGAGTGTCAACCAGGCGTCTCGTGAAGTCGAAATCGGTCTGAGAGGCGGAAGGAAAGGAAACTTCAATTTCCTTGAAACCTATATCGCAGAGCATCTTGAAGAAACGCCATTTCTCCTCCCCATTCTGTTATTCGTCACAGGATCAGCCGACCGCCCAAAACATGGCCGAGATGCTAGGGTGCGGAGCACCTTTCACGTAATGGGGAGAGATACATACCATTGGGTCTGGGTTGCTCTGGTTTCCATCTCTAAGGCTAGTTTCCAGCCATCGAGGGGCCTTGTCAATCGTTTTGGAGGGCCACTGGCGATCGGGCAAGTTGAGAGGAGGGAAGGGCTTGTATTTCTTCCAGGGTTCCTTGAGCCTGGATGTTGGTAGGCACGGGGTCAGTGTGATCTTTGGTATACATGAAGTAAATGCGAAAAGATATCCGAAAAACGTACATAGGCATCTTGCAAGAATTGTAAGCGCAAGTTGGGAGTGGTTGCGATGGTACTTAGGATTTGGGTGTTGGGCTGCGACTGCGGGGAGTGGCGAGAGCTTTGCGCGCAAGCAGAAGAATGCAGGTCAAGACGTCGGACTGGAAGAAGACGTAGATCCCAAGGAAGAAGAGGAAAATAGGAAAGAATCACTGTCAGATTCGCAGCAGGATGCGGCTGGGACGGGCAAGTAGAAGAGAAGTTGAATTGAGTCACCCACTTCAGAGTCATAAGTCGGAGGCGCCGATTGCCGCTCGCCGCGACCCCTCCAACATTTTCTTTTTCATCTCCGACCGCGGGGCCGTCGTGCCATTATTGTGGGTGACTAATCGCGGGGTCTTTGATAGGTCAGACAAGCTCGGCATATGTGGACCCCTGTGTGGACCTGTCTCCACAAAATTCCAAGTACGGAGTACCGCCACATAAAGTCGGCAGATCTTCCGTGATCAACGTCAATTCCTCCGTCCTTGTCTTTAAAGGCCATGATAGATGCCATCCTGTCGGTCTGCTTTAAGAATGCTTTTGTATGATCTGAGAGTCTCACACACCGGATGTCACCCCTTTACAGTTTCGCCATCAAGGGCTGCTGAGATGGCTCTGGATAAGTGAGCAGCTGTCCCATCACGCCAAAATCGCACATCCCGCACCACCGCAAGCTCACCGGCTTTTCCACGTTGAGGGCTGCTATAGGTTATGCAGCGGCAAGAAAACGGTGTTGCCACAGATGATCTCGAGCTACCGTGTTATCAGTCGTAAGGAGTGCAAGCAGAGACATTGCGAAGTGGCCGCCGGATTGCCATAGATGGTTATTGCCGGGCTTTTCCATTCTGACTGCTTGAGAGAAGCTGGGTCAATGGCATGAGAGATGGCCCTATCAAGTGAAGCTGAATATCTGCTATCCCGCCGAGTCAACTTGCCCTCCCTACCCCCGATCAGGAGGCACGGCAGGAGCTGTTGTTCATGCTAAAGCGAGAATCAGTCCATCAACACACATATCTCTCAATACAATAAATATTACAATAGATTTGAGTGATGGAAGAAAGGGTGAGCCAATTGCCTTTGAAACGCCGTGGCAGCAGCCCTATCATTCGGAACGGAGGGCTCAATGTTCATCCGGAAGCGTCGCTGTCACGATGAATACTTGGTCTCCAAATATCTTCTGGCTAGAAATACGACATGAAATTATAGTGTGAGGCTTAGGGTTCTAACACGTATATCTTCAGCGCCCAGTCCAGATTCATTGTAAACTGGTTACGACCAGCCCATAAACCAGGTTCGTCTCTTGTCTTTATTATCTCTTCTTGTTTCTACCAAAGGATGTTTCGTCTTCACTATAGATCATTGCCATATTTATGCTCAAAATACCAAAAAAGTAATACGCAATGTCTTCCTCCTTTGTGGTATGTCGTTTGGTGTCCCAGGACATGAGCTGTGCTACGCTTGTCTCATCCAAGTGTGAATCAAATAGGAATCGCCATAGGTTTCCCGTAATAGCCTCAATCTCGACATGAATGACATTTTATGCTTCTTTAAAGAATGTGTTGTTGGCTTAGATGAAAACACACATAGTATCATTATAGCTCGAGCCGTTGGGTGTGCTCCAATGGGAAAACCAAAGTCAACTTCTTGCTTGCCACGGCTAGGAGGAATGTATGATTGACTAGTTACTAGAGATTCATCCGGCCACAGAGAACGACATCGTCGCCAAACGGGTACCACTTAACACCAGTCAGCCTCGCGGCTGAGATAGCTATTCCTGAATCATTGAAGCATCTCCTGGGTGACAAGACCACTCCACCTTGGCCGAGCCATGTTGGGGCTATGGTGACGATGACCATGTCAATGTTTGGCTGGTACTGCGGCGAGAGCAAAGAATTGATGATCTGGCCACCAGCTTCAACCATGACACTGTTGAGTCCATTTTCCTTGAACCTCACGAGCAGGAGATTCCAGTCAAGGTGATGCTCGCCAATGTTCGAGGTAGGGATTTCCACATTGATGTATTTGCCTCCGTATTTCTCCAGTAGTGCCCGTATGTCAGCTGGTGGTTTCCGGAGTGCCGTGACGACCCATGGTGGACGCCCGCGGCCCTCTCGACATAGCTTGAACAGCTTTGAGTTGTCGGTAAACTCCCATCGGGCTGTGGGATCAATAACAACTGGTCTTGGCTGGCCGTCGAGGCCATCGCCACCATAACCACCGACTCCGGCAATGCGACAATTAAGGCTGGGGTCGTCAGCGACGGCGGTGCCAACACCAATCAGAATACCGTCGTGGCGAGATCGAGGGTAATGCGTCATGGCCTCGGACCGAGGTCCGGAAATGGCAGTGGGAGCGCCGGGCGACAGGGTGAGCGACGAATCCAGCGATGTAGCAAAAGTCAGTGTGGTGAAGGGCATGTTCGGGTGACGAGTTGAGTCATCCCTTGGCGGTAAATGAGGCTCAAGAAAGGCCCTGTCCGATGGGGAAATTTCATGGCATCTTTTGGGACCGGCGACGTCATGTTGGATGGATGGGTTGAGAAAGGGTTTCGGTTGGGTTGGAGCTTTATGTGACGGCTGGATATCTTAATTGTCGAGAGTAATAGGCGAGAGTATTGCAGATGAGGATGAGAAGTTGAAAATGAATGGCACTATGTAGTTGGCTCCCGTTGGGTCAATGCTGCACACATGGCTGCCACGGAACAAAGAGACTTGGAATACACGGCGTTACCTGCACGCATCAATCAATTGATGTACATACGAAGTAACCCTAACCCCTACCCTAACCCACAAACCTCGGAACTTGGTGATGAAGGCACCGACCTCAGGTAGAGACCTCTTGTGTATGATACAGCGCATGGATGGTCTCAAGCGCTCATCCAGGATTGACTCGCAGTACATGTACCAATAATGAGCACCTCCGCCTGGAATCCGAGTAAGCACAGCTGCCGATCATAGGGACATCGCGGACAAAGAAAAACAAATAGAGAAGAAATTGCTGGAAACAAAGTCACAAGTCAGACTGCGTATTTCAGCCAAAATGGACATCTTTTTGCATTTAAATAATGCGAGAAACGCAAACTTGTACCGCCCATCACGGCCAAAACCCGGCGCTACATTTGTTCGTGACGTCAACTCGGATAAATCGGCCTCTGTCGATATAAACATCGAAGCGATTCAACTGCCTGAGAGGCCAGTAGCAACAATACATCGAAAGCAATAAATATGTCGAGTCTCTTGTACGTAGTGCCAAAAGATGCAAGCAATAACACTCTATTTATGAAAGGCAAGACTTGGCTGACAACGAGTCTCATAACGTACTCTGTTGAAGCTTGGCTGAATCCCATTCAGCGCTTGCAAGGCAGCCAACAACAGATTCTGTCGAATCCTGCCCCCATGGCGTATCTTTGCACGCTACTAATGCCATAGTCACTTATGGTACTAGAAATGGACAACGAATAGCTGTGATATCGATGGAATTTGCTTAAATATTATGCCACTCCTTGCTTTGTACCAAAGGGAGCATCCTCCTCCTCAAAACACAGGGACAAAACTAAACGAGACCAGAAGTCTCTGGGCTATGGAATCTTGATGGGGATGTCTTTTAGAGTTCTCAAAACCGTCATTCTCATCTAATTTACGTTAAAAAAGAGTCCGGTGTGGTAAGAGTGGCAAGTGTACTCGGATACCCTGCACCTGAAAATCGGCGGCGTCGGGACCAGGGACGAGACGATACCATGTCGCCATGGCAGAAAAAAACTGGGTTTCCTCGGATGAGAAAGAAATGTTTCGCAGTCCGACTGGCTGTAGAGTGTTCAAGTTGTCAACTGATGGTTTTGACAGCACGTCATAGTCGCTGACCGTTCTGCTGGAACCTTGCAAATTTTCCGCCTCGTCAGCGGTATCGTCGTGAGTGGGCTAGCCAAGAAGTTTTCTGTGCCTAGAAAGGCCCGGACAAGGTCATTTCGCGCTGTTATTCATTTTTTAAAACCCTACAGGTGCCGTGGATTGGTTGGGCGGTTCAACATGTCCACCCAGAACACAGCATCAACCCGTGTCAAGGTAGCATCGTGGGATACGGGTTGCAAAAAATTTAGTAAGGCGTCATGGAGCGTAGTAAGCAAATGGTACAAATGTCAAAGGTGGAAGCTTTGGGCTCTATTCTATGGTATATCTGACGCGCAAGATATAGCCGAGATCGCCGCAGGCCACGACGGCTAATATCGCCCTCAAAAGTGTGAGTGTGGTGTAGTCGAACAGAATGGGTGATGTATCATTCACATGCGTGGTTTAGCCAAATGATGTCAAAAGACACTGCCTGGGTAAGACGAAAGGACATCGGGGAGCACACATCAGTGTCAACGGTTTGGCGTATCGAGTTGAGTTGGAACGGACAAGCACAGCCGATGAGAGTACCTTGTCTGAACAGCACCTCCCAGAATACAATAGTCTTGTCAAATTCTTCCAATTCCGTCGACTTTAAGCTGCTGTATCGGCTAGATCTCTTGATGCGTCGTTGCAGGCCCTGCGACTCTGCGCGACATGCAAGTAAAAGCCGAACCAAGGGCTGAACACCAAATTCCCCCTCTTGAGCAGACACGTTTCCAATCCCTCAGCAGCAAGTTCTTAAAGTCGCGCCTGAATAACTGTCCCAAACATTACTGGGTAGGCTGAAAAGCCTCCGAAACTGCTTTGAGCTGGGCGGCAACCCGAGCTTCGCGAGAAGCAGGCCCGCTCGGATTCGAGTACGGGTCTCGTTCAAAGAACAAGGTGAGACGGTCGTTGCCGAGATCTTGTTCGCCGTTTGCAATTCCGTGATTCGTATAAGCGTGATCTGGCTTTGGGGGCGCCGATCTAAAGCGACAGGGTCAGCAGGGACTGTTCGTTGAGGCTTGCCAACAGTCGTCACGTTACCCGTTATAAACCGCTCCAGCAGAAGGCATTTCTTTGGTTAGGAGATACGACGGACAGGACACGCAAAGGTCACGGGGTCGAGGATCTGGTGATTTCGCAAGAAAGACTCTTGTAAGTGCATATACTGAGCGAGTTTGGCAAAATGGCAAGGAGCTAAACGTCACGAAAATCACGACTTAGTTACAACTGACTAGAACAACTCCCAATGCCAAGCTGCAAACCGGAAGGCAGACTACGTCCATCGATAGCAACCAACCACGCGACAGCTTCCACGCCTTGCCAACAATCGACAGCCTCAGAGGAGCCAATCTTACAGCGGCACCAACTACGGGGTATAGACTTGTGCTGACAGGCAGCTGTTCTGGACCTTGAAGGGAGGTACAGAGCGGGTAGGGTGACAATGGGGTTTGGTGTCGTCAGGGTGGTGAGAACTGGTAGACGGGTTACTTGGAGGATACCGGTAACAGTACATAGCCAGTCTGTGCATGGCTATCTGCTCAGATGGCCTCGAGAAAGTGATGCTGGGGAGCGTAGACAGATGCATGACCAGAGACTTGCTGCACATATCCACATGGGACTAATTGAGCACAGCAAGCGCCTCGTGCATTTGCCCAGTACCAAAAACCCCTGAGAGCTGTTCCAACACATTCAGACCAGACAAGACTGTCAGCTGGATGCCTTCCAGACGCAATGCATGCTCACATTTGCGGCGAAGGATGCGTGGCTTGCAACACGGGAACACAAGGGCCGAAGTACAGACTTCGTCGTAGATCCAGTGAGTTTGCCGAGCCAGGAAGAACAGAATCCGCACGGCGTTTACTTTTGCCATGGATGAGATTCCACTTCTGCAGTAGTGAAATATGGCTGTTTCGCTCGACAATAGGCGGACTATTTCGTGCTCATTAGCTGTGAAAATCTGCCGGACCGGCGTCGACATGGTGGCCAATGTGAACATGGCTCAACGGCAAACTTTGGTTTCGAGAAGTGCGACACCCTGCATCCGCGGGCACGGGTCGAACACGTCGTTCGCTGGGCCGCAAAGGCGTCAAAGGCAGCCGAGGCGATGATCAGGACGGCACAGAAAGCGAGGCTGGCAGCGTGCGTGACGTGCCCACATGTGTGTCCGCCTCGCTTTGTCCGCTTCACTTTGTCCGCTTCACTCTGTCCGCTTCACTCTGCACGCCTCACTCTGCCTGCCTGCCTCACTCTGTCCGCCTCAACTTTGTCGATGCGAATTTGGTTGACGCTCTTGCCGCGGTGTCCGAGCACTGGTCCGGCCGCAGCCTGCGGTTGCGACCATTTCGACGCAATTGTCTCGTGACTGTTGTCTGGACCGGGTGAAAGGTCGGAGCGGTAATGACAAGGGGTAGTGCCTTGCACGGTTGATAGACGGATATGAGCTAAGAGTCTTATTAGTTTAGGTATGGATCGGTTTGTATGAATAGATACAATACCCGGCACAATTGGGCGTGCTTGGGGTATTGGCCAATTGCGGCCCCAATGGAGTGCTCACTTACGGTTCGTAGTAGTGAAAGAGTCCTGCGTATCCTGGAGTAAAGAAATGCATATGATGTGGGCAACATAGTCGTCGAGAAGCGTCGCGCCGAGGGGAGAATGCCATTTATGTAAATTGTATGTGCACACAAGTTGGACTTATTTTTGGATTAGGACTTGCCTCCAGTGTCGTGGGGGCAGGATACGTTTAAGGCTGCGACGACATGTGGGGACCTGCGGCTCTGACGAATCACGATCGTAAACCACGTGCACATATGTGCACAAATCTTGGGGGCCGTCGGCGCGATGCCCTGCACGTCTCAGTCAGGCAGTCAATGCATCTACAGTGGGTGTATGTGCACATCGGCGGATCGCTTCATCTGGACGCCCATTTGCTTGCCATGCGGCCGACACACATGCACACACATGCGCCACTGGTATAACTTGCGTTCGGTCCCTTTTGACACTCGTGAGTTGATCCCTGCCACGTGAACCAAACGGACCAGACCAGACATCTGGACCCTTGTCTACACATCCACAGTGGCCCTACGTACTTGGATGCACATGGCAGACATTGCAGAGACATGTTTAGGCGCCGATTGACATTTAGAGACACATGGAGTCTCTGGGCACAACAGTCTCGTTGGGACTCCAAGGCAGGTATCGCCTCACTCGGGCTTCTACCTTGTTCACCAATCATGACACCTCTTAACCTCAGTATTTAGGTAGCTTCTTGCAAGCGATTCCGGTGGCAGGCATTCGAGCTTTGCATGAGCAGGTTACGGAGAGGAGATGTAGTCGGGTGTACAAGGTAGCACGTATGGTTTCGTGTCCGTTCCCTTCTTGGAAGGTGGAGTCAATGGTTATCATGCGTGTCCACCATCAACATCGGACGTCACATCACCAGAGAGGCCACACTTGCACATGGAAACGCTGCGCAGTGAAGCGGGTGACTCGGCGAGGGCAGTCATGTCACAAATAGGAGCGAGGAACATCACGTCATTCGTCTA